CACCATGCCTTTGGGGGATAGGGCACAGAAAGGAAGAATTTTCAGGGGCCATTCCAACTCATACCTGGCGATGGAGATACCATTATTGTAAAAGTGGTTTTCCCAGGGTAAGGCTCATCTATTGCACTCTGGATGTGCTGACCTCTGTGATTTCCCCAAATGTGGGAAAATCAACTGCCTAAGTGGGGAACTGTGTGATTTCCACAGGTCTTTCTAGAATTACTCTTTCCACTTTGGTCCTTGGCTGTTTTCATTGCCTGCTGCCATAGGCCTGTTAGCCTTGCTGGTTTTCCAGGTGGGCTGCAAGAAGCAGATCCTGGAAAGCCAGCAGGGCAGAATGGTGAGGTCCAAACAGCAAGCGGTCTCTTTTGCTAGTTCAGAGGCCTCCCAGCATGGCAGTGGGAGGCTTCTGGGTGGTGGTGACTGAACCCTTTTTTTACTGTATTTGCTCCATAAGATGCACATACTTCTCTGTGGGAAAATAGCCATGCCAGGCAGGCCTGGTAATAGTCCCCTGGCTATTTTCCCACACTTCTCCCCCCACTTTTTTTGGGGGGGGGAAGTGCGTCTTATAGAGCAAAAAATATGGTGTATTGCCTTGAAATTATTTTTGGGAAGGGGGGATATAAATACAATTTATAAGTATATAAGTATAAATGTATCATTTTCAAACCAGGTATGAACTACAACCAGCAGAAAACTCTCTTTCACTAGATTATATTTTCACGCATTTACATTTCCAAAAAAAGCTCACTCACCTGCTGTCCTTGTGTTGTTTGAAATAACTGAGCTACAGCTGCAAAGGCATCCGAACTGGGCAACTGTGGCACAGCAGGTACAGAATTAGAAGAAACTTGGGTGGGCTCAGATGGAATTGTTGCAGTAGGAGGTGGTGAACCTACAAAACAATTTATGCAAATGCAACTGTTTGCTATAACATACAATATGTATGTTATTTATACTACTACAAAAATGTGTTTTTATAGACATCTCTTTAAGGTTTGCTTTAGAGAGCCAAATTGATATAATGCAACTTGGTATTGCATGGTTGATTTCTGCTTAGTAATCAGCAACAACATGTGACAGGCAGGTACTGATAAGAAGGCCTTCAGGATTAAATTCCCTGACACTTGTAGCAGCCTGCTTACAGTTGCAATTGACTAAATGATTTTTTAAAAATCACACTACCTGATACTTACAGGATTACTGTGACATCTACTTTGCCCTACAGTCTCATGTAAGTTTCTAAATATTCTCAAACTATTGATTCCATAACGAAAAACAAAACTGAGATTTCCTACCTTCATTATTAGTGGCATCCTCAGTCACTGAAGCTGCACTGGTAGCTCCTGCTGCCATATCCAGGAGAGGCTGAATTATTTCTATTTTGAACACTCCATTTTTCTGCCATAAGTTGAGGACACGAACTATTTTACTCTGTTCAAATAAGAAGTGTGCCAATAGAATTTTAGAAGATCTTTGTTAACGTACTTAAAACATAAGCGCTGTTCAAACAGAATTTTCTTCCCTGCCACTTTATTTAAATATCATGGGTTAAATCCAAGTTACTATCAAGTAGAGTAGACCCACTGAACAAACAGAACTTGTTGAGTCAGTACTTGTATATACAGTGGTGCCTCGCACAGTGAGGTTAATCCGTTCCGGATTAACCCTCGCTGTGTGAAAGCATCGTTGAACGGGGCAGGAAAAGCCATTGGAACGCATTAAACATGGTTTAATGCATTCCAATTGGGCCAAATCCTCACCGTTCAGCGATGCTTCCCTATGGCCGGCAGCCATTTTCGCGCCCTCTCCTCGCTTAACGAGGGCGCAAAAACGCTACGCGCGGCCATTTTGTAGCAGCGGAACAGCTGATCGGCGGGTCGCAAAGCGAAGGTCGGTAAGCGAATCGCTCATTGCGATTTTCGCCCATTGGGGCCGTCGCTCTGCGATCGCATTAGCGATCAAAAAAATGTCCCCGTAGAGCGAATTCATCGCTCTACAGGGCGCTCACTGTGCGAGGCACCACTGTATATATTACATTTAGTCAACAGGTATACTCTCTAGCTGGAACAGTTTATTTACAATTGAACAATGCACCGAGGCAAGATTCTAGAAAAAGCATCTGCAAAGAATGATGGCAGCTAAACACATATATGAAGAAAGCAGCTCATATGTTCAACGGTAATTCTTTTTAACAAACAGCAACATAAACCAAATTACACTAGAAACAAGCAGAAGAGCCTTCAAATTTCAAACCCTAAGTAAAAATAAATAAAACTAAGCAGAAGGTTTGGGACCTCAATATTTGGCAGATCGCCTCCTCCCACCCAGATCTACCCGAGTCACCCGAC